AATCTAAAAGCAAACAAATAAACAAAAGAAATATTACTTGGGCCTACACACTGAGAAACCATGGCATCAATCTGATCACAACTACCTAAAGTGACTAATGGGTGGGTAGTGCATACTGAGCGCACGTTCTGGACAAAGCAATGATCTGTGTGCTGGCGGAGACAACTGAAACATTGTGAGATTTAATCATGCTACTCGGGATGATGTGAAACTTTTCATTTATTTCTAGAGTTTTCCATTTAATACTGTCAAGACCACACTTGAGTGTGGTTAACTGACACTATGGAAAGCAAAACCACAGCAACAGGGGACTGCTGTGGTATCGAAAAGGAAGGTCAAGATTTCTCCCTAAAGCATGGTTTGGGATTGGTTAAAATACTTGAAACAGTTCTCATGAAAAGTCATAGACCTATAAACTCCAAAATCACAAGCTGGATGATTTTGAACTAGATCATTCTAAGAACAAAATAAACAACCCAGTTAAGAAATGGGCAGAGAACTTAAGCAGGCCTTTTTCAAAAGAGGAAATCCAAACAGCCAAAAGAGACATGAAAAAATGCTCAGAATCACTAACCATCAAGAAAATGCAAATCAAAATCACATTGAGGTTTCACCTCATCCCAGTCAGAATGGCTTTCACACAGAAATCAATGGACAACAAATCCTGGCAAGGATCTGGGGAAAAAGGCACCCTAATCCACTGTTGGTGGGAATGTAAGCTGATACAGCCACTGTGGAAGACAGTATGAAGACAGCCCAGAAATCTGAATATAGGCCTACCATATGACCCAGCCATCCCACTCCTGGGAATTCACCCAAGGGAAATGAAATCAGCATATGGAAGAGTTACATGTACCCCCACATTTATTGCAACTCAATTTACAATAGCTAAGATGTGGAATCAACCCAAATGTCTGCCAACTAAAGACTGAGTAAAGAAATTATGGGATATGTACACCATGGAATACTATAGAGTGGTTAAAAACAAAATAATGAAATCCTGTCATTTGTAACAAAATGGATACAACTGGAAAACATTATACTTACAAGCCAGTCACAAAAGGACAAATACCATATGTTCTTATTGATCTGAGGTAACTAATAGAGCACCTAAAAGTTAATCTACACAATTGAAATTGACACTTTGAGATGTGATGCCATTGAACAGCTTGTCTGGACTGTTGAGGGACCTTTTTTTTTATACTATTTGTTGAACTCTTTACTTAGTATAGAGCTAATCTTATGTGTAGAAAGTTAACTGAAAATAAATCTTAATAAATATAAGAACGGGAATAAGAAAAGGAGGAAGAAGAAGGGTGGGAGTGTGGGTGGAAGGGTGCACAGGGTGGGAAGAATCATTGTTCCTAAAGTTGTACTTATGAAATACATGAAGTTTCTATAACTTACATAAAAAGTATCTAGGTTAAAGAAAAAAAAGAAAATGTGGTATTTGTATACAACAGAATATTAATTGTCTATAAAAAGAATGAAATTCTACCATTTGCATTAAAATGGATGAAACTGAAGAATATCATGTTGAGTGAAATAAGCCAGATACAGAAAAACAAATCCATGTGTTCTCCCCAAAATTTGGGAGCTATAATTAAAAAAAGAAAACAAAAATCACAACATAAAAAACCAAAAATAAATGTCCATGTATATCAGTATTGCAAATATGTTTTTCAAACTGTGTTTTATAAGTTTGTCAAACCAATGGTTAAGAATGTTAAACTACTTTAGTTTCAATGATCTGATTATTTTAATATTTATTGTATATGGGTGAAATGATCATCTTTCCATTTGATTGTTTATTGCCCTTGCCTGTATTACTGCTGATCTAAGATCCTTTTACTTTTTACTTGCTGAATTTTTTTATTTAGTGGAGCAGGAAGGCATTGGCTGTAATGTTAATTAAAATTATATTATCTCAAAAACTGTACAGGAAGGAAGAAAGCAGAAAGGAAGACAGGGAGGAAGGAAATATCATTATATTCTTAGAATTACATCTACGAACTACACTGAGCCTGTTCTCCTTATATTAATATTACATTAACATGAAAACTAAAGTATCAGGAAAAGCTCAAAAAATAAAAATAAAAACTCAAATAAAAAGAAAATAGTACTCTGTCTTTTTCTAGCATCAAAAAAGAATGACCTCCTAACTTAAATGTTTCCAAGTTCTGAGCTTGGCGTAACTGTTTGTCAGATACATGTCTGGTGTCTCATAACTTATTCCAAGTTTGGCATCAGATATCCTGGTCCCCAAACTCTACAGAGTTAGAACTAGGCAACTTTGGGAAAATTTCTTCAACTCCCAAAATAAATATGTTAATAACAACTGCACAGCACAGTGAACATTAATTAACTTAAACATTAAACTAACATGGAAAAGTGTCCAACATAAACTAGGTATGCATAACACTGTGTTCTACAACATTCAGGAAGAAAAGCTGAGACTATGCAGTTTGCTTCAACTGAAGTATTGAAAAGTACTTAACATCTGGTGAAAGATTTCATTTTTTTTATAATGTTGCATTCTTAAAAACAATTCATGATGGTTTCCTGTTCATTTCATCATCACCATAATTGAATACATGTTCTACTGACTTATCTGCTATCCCAATTAGCTCATTTGATCCTGGGATTTGACCAAACACCTCTTTTTCTGAATAGCTGAGTTATTGGGATTGAAATTTGGAAAGATCAAGACAAATCATCTGTTATAGCTATAAAATTTGAGAAATTGCTACATATCATTGATGGTTTGTGATTGCTACTAATACTAAAATGCCTAAAATCCAGTACAGGCATTTGGCCTAGTAGTTGGGACTCCAGTTAGGATTTTCATGTCCCATACTGGAGTGCAGGTATTCAAATCCCCAGCTCCCCTCCCAATTCTGCCTTCCATCTAATGCATACTCTGGGAAGCAGCAGGTGATAGCTCAGTGTTTGTATTGAGTGGCTCCTGGCATTGACCTGGCCTGGCCCAGCCCCAGCTGATGCCAGGAATTTATGGGGGAGATAAGCCAGTGGATGGGAGATGTCTCTCTTTCTATCTGTATTTTATTATTCTGTAATAAATAAAACAATATAATAAACTAATTTTTTTAAAAAAAATTGCCTAAAGCTGATATGGCATTTTATGCATTACCTCAATGGAACATAATTCTTAAATCCTACTTCTAGGGCTTCTGAAGATTATTTCTCAGCACTACCCCTGGAGCAGTATTGCTGAGTTACATGGATTATTGACTAATTTCAGACTGGGATAAACAAATATAGAATCTTGGCTACATGGAGATCATGATGCCCAGACACAAAGCATGATGCAGATTTTATCAATCAGTTAATTAGACAATAGGGCCAGTACACAGACAGAAACTACTAACTTGAATTACTATAAATCTGAATTATCCAAGGATAATCTACAGGTTTATTTTTAATACAGTGCTGCTGTGCTGCAGATACGCATATGTACATGTATTTAGGCTCAGAAATAAGCAGCAGAGTGGTCAGCAATTGTCAGTGGTTCCTAAGTGCTGTGGTTTCTTTCTGTTGCTTCTTTCCAGTGACTTCTCAGCTCCCAGGGGGCAGGGAAGGACATGAGACGCACATTCTTCAGTTGGGCATGAATTAAGACAGAAAGGGGAACATTCCATTTTGGGTTGGCTAAGTAAGTACAGTGTGGTAATATAAAGCTTATACTTAAATCTATAAATTCTACTTTATGGCAACTAGAAAAATCTCTAAAAAATAATACAATGCAACATCTCTTTTACTAAGTGAGTGCCTCAGATAAATGAAGCACTATGTGTGAAGAATTAAATGTAGTTTGTGACAGGTATAGTGAAAAACGTAAATGATAACAAGAGTATCTCTTAATTGAAAAACATGTTAAAATACATGGGTAAATGGTCAAATAACTGGATAATGATGTCTACATTAGTATCCTCATGAAAATAAATCGATGGCCATAGAAAAACAAATATTAATAGAAAACATTTTAAGTCATAAACACCATCTACAGTAATATTGTCTATGCCATCACATATATAATCATAATCCTCATATTTTAAAGTCTTCAATTTTTACTATGCATATATTTGTCGTCTCTTCATATTGGAACATGAATGATAGGACAAACTCATTGACCAACCCTTGAGAGGGACATAACCACACTACACCAAGTCAATTAGATAGGTTAATTCAATGTGGGAGCAATACCCCAATTTCTCAGAATGGAAACATTTACTGGAAGACAATCCACGTGTTCTCAATTTCGGTATCCCAAAGGAAAGCCTTTACTGAAGACAGTGCTAGCAACAGGTATGGGGCAGAGGTTATAAATTATATTTTCTGGGTAATTTTATGCCCATAAATCTTTAGTAAGAAAATCTCAAAGCTGAGAGGAGGATAGGTGTGTGACTTGTGATGAAAGAAAAGAGTCAAAGTGGGCTTCCAGGTGCAGTCAAATGGGTCTGACTTTGCCAATCTCAACAAGTATGGGTAAGAGTAGTTATCCATCATGTTCTTCATTTAGGAGTGGTAGGTTTAAGGTGTGTGGGCAGTTCTTTCTGCAGCACTGTGTTATACAAAGGGTCTGATGCTCTACTAACCAGTGACTTACAGGCCAGAAGTAGGTACTCCCTATTCTTATATTACATAACAGGTACCAGGATGCGTCTCAAACTATTTTTTCTACCATAGGCAGAACTGTTAAGTGTTAGGTATACAAGATGAACCTAAGCGAAGCTCCACACTTCTGGTCCTTCCAGAATTTAAGGGTGATAACAGCAAAAAAGAGGTTGATTAGCCACCTTGAGCCCTCATCCTCTTCAAGCTGGGCCTTTGGAGAGAGATGACTTTTTTTTCTGACTGATCAGAAGTGATTTTGAAAAGACTATTAGGCCTTATATTAAAATCTATCAAGGCTAAATCAATAAAATTCAGCTTAATTACTCTTTTTTTTCCATAACCAATAAGAACACAAAAATACACACCTTGAATCTTCTTCTCACTTCTGCTATTTTATCATCCAATTCTTCTGTTTTCTGTTTGATGAGGTGGTAAACAGCACTGATGTGATAAGCCTCCATGTAGAGCTGTTTGAGATAATCATTATTTTTTGACTTCAGTTTCAACAAAGATTGGATTTCAGACTCATGCTCCGCTTTTTTCCTTATACTGTAAAAATAAAGCAAAAAGATTAGTGTAATTAATTGAAGAGAGAATATATTGGAAAATATATATTTAATAATAAGAAGAAATGTGTATACAAAGGCTGTTGATTTTTGTGCATTGATTTTATATCCTGCTACTTTGCCAAACTCTTTTATGAGTTCCAATAGTCTCTTAGTAGAGTTCTTTGGATCCCCTAAATAAAGGATCATATCGTCTGCAAAGAGGGATAGTTTGACTTCTTCCTTCCCAATTTGTATCCCTTTAATTTCTTTTTATTGCCTGATGGCTCTGGCTAAAACTTCCAGAACTATATTGAATAGCAATGGTGAGAGTGGGCATCCCTGTCTGGTGCCAGATCTCAGTGGAAATGCTTCCAAGTTTTCCCCAATCAATAGGATGCTGGCCGTGGGTTTTTCATAAATTGCTTTGATTATATTGAGGAATGTTCCTTCTATACCCAATTTGCTTAGAGTTTTCATCATGAAAGGGTGTTGAATTTTATCGAATGCTTTCTCTGCATCTATTGAGATAATGATATGGTTTTTCATCTGCTGTTTGTTAATGTGGTGTATCACATTGATTGATTTGTGAACATTGAAACATCCCTGCATTCCAGGGATAAATCCCACTTGGTCTGGGTGGATGATTTTTCTGATGTGTTGTTGTATTCTATTGGCGAAAATTTTATTGAGGATTTTTGCGTCTATGTTCATCAGGGATATTGGTCTGTAATTTTCTTTCTTTTTTTTAGTTTTTTTTTATATTTTGACAGGCAGAGTGGACAGTGAGAGAGAAGGAGACAGAGAGAAAGGTCTTCCTTTGCCGTTGGTTCACCCTCCAATGGCCGCCGCGGCCAGCACGCTGCGGCCGGCACACCACGCTGATCCGATGGCAGGAGCCAGGTACTTGTCCTGGTCTCCCATGGGGTGCAGGGCCCAAGGACCTGGGCCATCCTCCACTGCACTCCCGGGCCACAGCAGAGAGCTGGCCTGGAAGAGGGGCAACCGGGACAGAATCCGGTGCCCCAACCAGGACTAGAACCTGGTGTGCTGGTGCCGCAAGGCGGAGGATTAGCCTAGTGAGCCGCAGCGCCGGCCTGTAATTTTCTTTCAATGCTGCATCTTTCTCTGGCTTAGGGATTAAGGTGATGCTGGCTTCATAGAAAGAATTTGGGAGGATTCCCTCTCTTTCAATTGTTCTGAATAGTTTGAGAAGAATTGGAGTTAGTTCTTCTTTAAATGTCCCGTAGAATTCAGCAGTGAATCCATCTGGTCCTGGGCTTTTCTTTGTTGGGAGGGCCTTTATTACTGTTTCAATTTCTGTCTCAGTTATGGGTATATTTAGGTTTTCTATGTCATCATGGTTCAATTTAGGTAGATTGCTTGTGTCCAGGAATCTATCCATTTCTGATAGGTTTTCCTGTTTGCTGGCATACAAGTCCTTGTAGTAGTTTCTGATGATTCTTTTTATTTCTGTGGTGTCTGTTGTTACGTTTCCTTTTTCATCTCTGATTTTATTGATTTGGGTCTTTTCTCTTCTTTTTTTTAGTTAGTTTGGCCAATGGGGTGTCAATTTTGTTTATTTTTTCAAAAAACCAGCTCTTCGCTTGGCTGATTTTTGCAATTTTTTTTTGGATTCAATCCTGTTGATTTCTTCTCTGATTTTAATTATTTATCTTCTCCTACTAGATTTGGATCTGGTTTGCTGCAGTTTTTCTAGATCCTTGAGATGCGTTGAAAGCTCATTTATTTGGTGCCTTTCCAATTTCTTGATATAGGCACCTATTGCTATAAACTTTCCTCTCAACACTGCTTTTGCCGTATCCCATAAGTTTTGATATGTTGTGTTGTTATCCTCATTTACTTCCAGAAAGTTTTTGATTTCTCTTTTGATTTCTTCTGTGAACCAGTGTTCATTCAGGAGCATGTTGTTCAGTCTCCATGTGTTTGCATACTCTCTAGGGACTCCTGAGTTGCTAATTTCCACCTTCATTCCACTGTGGTCTGAGAAGCTGCATGGTATGATTCTAATTCTTTTAAATTTGCTGAGACTTGCTTTATGGCCTAGTATGTGGTCAATCCTAGAGAAGGTTCCATGCACTGCTGAAAAGAATGTAAAATCTTTAAGTGTAGGATTGAAAGTTCTGTAGATATCTGTTAGATCCATTTGGGCAATAGTGTTGATTAAATCCACAGTTTCCTTGTTGATTGTTTGTCCAGTTAATCTATTTCTGAGAGTGGAGTATTGAAGTCCCCCAGTACTATTGTATTGGGGTCTAAGTCTCCCTTTAAGTCCCTTAACGAATCTTTTAGATAAACTGGTGCCCTGTAATTAGGTGCATATACATTTATAATAGTTACATCTTCCTGCTGAATTGAACCCTTAATCATTATATAGTGTCCCTCTTTGTCTCTCTTAACAGTTTTTGTGTTAAAGTTGATTTTGTCTGATATTAATATGGCTACACCTGCTTTTTTTCATTTCTGTAGGCATATATACACAGGCAATGCCACAGCTGAGAAAGAACTGCTAAGATCAATCGCATTCACAATAGCTACAAAAACAATCAAATACCTTGGAATCAACTTAACCAAGGACATTAAAGATCTCTATGATGAGAATTACAAAATCTTAAAAAAACAAATAGAAGAGGATACCAAAAAATGGAAAAATCCTCATGCTCATGGATGGGAAGAATCTACATCATCAAAATGTCCATTCTCCCAAAAGCAATTTATAGATTCAATGCAATACCTATCAAGATACTGAAGACATTCTTCTCAGATCTGGAAAATGATGCTGAAATTCATATGGAGACACAGGAGACCTCGAATAGCTAAAGCAATCTTGTACAACAAAAACAAACCTGGAGGCATCACAATACCAGGTTTCAGGACATACTACAGGGCAATTGTTATCAAAACAGCATGGTACTAGTACAGAAACAGATGGATAGACCAATGGAACAGAATTGAAACACCAGAAATCAACCCAAACATCTACAGCCAACTTATATTTGATCAAGGATCCAAAACCAATTCCTGGAGCAAGGACAGTCTATTCAATAAATGGTGCTGGGAAAACTGGATTTCCACGTGCAGAAGCATGAAGCAAGACCCCTACCTTACACCTTACACAAAAATCCACTCAACATGGACTAAAGACCTAAATCTACAGCTCAACACCATCAAATTATTAGAGAACATTGGAGAAACCCTGCAAAATATTGGCACCTAAAAAGACTTCCTAGAAAAGACCCTGGAGGCACAGGCAGTCAAAGCCAAAATTAACTACTGGGATTGCATCAAATTGAGAAGTTTCTGTACTGCAAAAGAAAAAGTCAGGAAAGTGAAGAGGCAATCGACAGAATGGGAAAAAATATTTGCAAACTATGCTACAGATAAAGGGTTGGTAACCAGAATCTACAAAGAAATCAAGAAACTCCACAACAACAAAACAAACAACCCACTTAAGAGATGGGCCAAGGAACTCAATAGACATTTTTCAAAAGAGGAAATCCAAATGGCCAACAGGCACATGAAAAAATGTTCAAGGTCATTAGCAATCAGGGAAATGCAAATCAAAACCACAATGAGGTTTCACCTCACCCCGGTTAGAATGGCTCACATTCAGAAATCTACCAACAACAGATGCTGGTGAGGATGTGGGGAAAAGGGAAACTAACCCACTGTTGGTGGGAATGCAACTGGTAAAGTCACTATGGAAGTCTGTCTGGAGATTACTCAGAAACCTAAATATAACTCTACCATTCAACCCATCCATCCCACTCCTTGGAATTTACCCAAAGGAAACTAAATTCGGAAACAAAAAAAAAAAAAAAAAACAGTCTGCACCTTAATGTTTATTGCAGCTCTATTCACATTAGCTAAGACCTGGAATCAACCTAAATGCCCATCAACAGTAGACTGGATAAAGAAATTATGGGACAGGTACTCTAGTACTCTATAGAATACTATACAGCAGTAAAAAAAAATGAAATCCGGTCATTTGCAATAAAATGGAGGAATCTAGAAAACATTATGCTGAGTGAAATAAGCCAGTCCCAAAGGGACAAATATCATATGTGCTCCCTGATCAGTGACAACTAATTGACCACAAAAAAGAAAACCTGTTGAAGTGAAAGGGACACTGTGAGGAACAGTGATTGATCAGCCCTTACCCTGACTGTTGATGAACAACGTAATATGTTATCCCTCTGTGGGGAGCAATTCGGACTATACTGTTACTGGAATTGAGATTTATTCTATGCATCTGCTCTCCCACAATATGGCGCTGGGAGAGAAGTAAACAGCTTCTACCCAGCTGCCTCTCACCAACTTGACAAGCTGCAGGAGCTGCTCCTGATTGGAGGAGAGCGGCGTGCTCGGCGTGTGGGCAGCCGAGTTGGGATTGGTGGAGAGGACTATATAGGAGGAGAGAGACGGCATGGTGGTGTGGGTTGGTTGGAGAGTGCGTTGGAGAGTTCGCGGGGAAGTTCGTTACTTCGTTCTTTCTCATTTCTCTCTACTCATTCTTGCTTTGGGAGTTTGCTGTTTACTTATTCTTGCTTTACTATAGAAAGGACTTGTAAAAAAAGGGGAACAACAAGCGCCCGGTCCGGTGCGGCTCCTCCACGTGCGGAGGAGCAGCAAGTGGTGCCGTGACTCGGATAGGAAACCTAGGAGGGAAAAACCGGGAAGAAGTGGGAAATTACTGGAGAGAGAGACTAGCAAAGAGCCTAGGGGAAGGCCGGACGGAAAGAGTGCCGGTGAAAAGCTAGTTAGAACCTAGGAAAAAAGCCGCGGGGGAAGAAAATTAGAAGCTAGGAAGGAGGTATTAACTGGGAACGTCTGGGAGACTCAGTCTTCCATTACGCCCACTGCTCCAACATGTCACAGACGGTACAGACAATGGAGTTCTTTGGCTACTCTTTGCCCACTGGCTACCTCTTCCTTCTGCTGGGCACCATCCTCTGTTTCTCCCTAAAGATCATCCATGGGCTA